AGCGATTTCGAGATACTTACAAAGCTCGGTTCACAATTTTGAACGGCGGAGAGCTCGATTTCAACAAATCGGGAAATTTGACCGGTTCACCTCCCAACGCGCCGCCGCCGTCGGAGAAAAAGGAGAACACCGGTGGACTCGGAACGGCACAAGGAACACGATGGTGCGGGAGGTGTCGTAAACGGATGACCCGATCGTCGTGAATCGATGAAAAACCAACTAAAACCGAGTTATTACCGACGATACTTCCGACTGAAATTCACGACGAACGACGATGATTCACGACGAAAGGTTTGAGGGGTTTTGTTCCTCGGTTGACAACGAACACGATGGTTGTTTCGGCTTGTCGTTTGGAGGTCGGACGGCGAGTAGATCGGAGTTGGAAGTAGGGAGAACGTTAGAGGAAAACTGGAAAATTTTCCAGAAACATACGGGAGTCTGGGGGGTTTATAACATCTCATAATTAAAAATGGCTAAACCAAGAGTTTAGCCACTGAACTTCCTGCACTTCTTAAAACGGTCTGTCAACTTTGAAATCTTACAATTTAATCCCTTATTTCTTTCAAAATACCAAATTAAATCCACCAATTTATATTTTCTTAAATTTAGCCCCTAAATTGGGGTGTTACACATTTCCATGCTCCTTATTCTATGGAGGTACTATATCGTCATCCGTTCCTTATCAACAAAATGTATCTACTCCTGATGGTGATGATGATGATGACAATGGTGATGATAATGATGATGATGATGATGATAAGAGTGAGGAGTCAGAACAAGTTATACGAAGAAATCCTCCTCGAGACAGACAGCCACCGCCCTGCGAAACACATTCAAGACGCAAGCATCGATAGATTCATACATTTCATTATAGTTGTATTTAATTTTTTATTTACAAACAATTATAATTTTTTTAATTATTTACCATTTAATACTTAAAATATTTTGTTAATTTTGTTTATTACTTAATTCAAGCGAATGGTTTTATCATTTAGTGCTTTTTAATCGTTTTATTGTATCATTTTCTTATTTTATTAATCGGTGATGATCAAATGACATTAACTTAAAGTTAATGAAAATTAAATTACAGAAACTTATCTTTCTTATGCAACAACTACAACAAGCACAACATCAACGGTTACTTGATGACAAAATAAATGGACATTTTTTCCTACTGTGTCCTGGGTTTCTACAATACCCACATCTTTTGTTTTCTCTTGATGTTTCCATATAACAATGAATTCGAGTGGATTTTGGACGACCTAAGGATGGATTTGGTACAATCGAAAGCTAATTCTGAACCTCATTAGGGTTTTTCTCATTACCTATGGGAAGAAATCAAATTCATATGCCTTAAACACTTCCAATAGAAGGTATACAAAATCCACAAAACGGTTATAGTCTTGGCGGGTATGTGAGCAAGCTACTATGACATGAGCGCATGAATAATTCAGAGCTTGAAAAAACCCATTGTTGCACCATCTGTCTCGTAGATTAACTCTGAACGAGTTAGCTTGAATCCCTTGAAGAGGTTGCAGGATCTCTGTCACACGAAACAATTCATGGGTTTTAGAGAAGCTTGTTACAGACATTCTATTTGATGCATCAATTCTTTTTTGTAGATATGTAACTAATCTATGGTGATATACATGACCGTTTTACATCCAAGTTTGAGCTTGTCCCCCGAGCTTGGCGAAAAGTGTTCCCAAATGAAAATATGTCATTTTTACTAAAGTCGTTACCGATAAATGATGTGCCCCCTTTAAGGTCGAATTGATAGCCTAGTCAAGTTTGTCATCATGTGTCCATATCGATATCCATCATCATATGCATTTGTTCACATTTCTTTATTGATGAGGCTGATGTAATCGTATCATTCCTCGTTCTTTCCCCACAATTCTTGAAGCAATGACTCAAATATTTGAGGTAGTAGTTTGTAACCTGAACATCAAATGTAGAACTTACTAACTTTGTTTCTATAAAAAAAATGAACATGATTGAAAGAAAAAAAATAATAGAATTTTCACATACCCATGCATACAAGTAATTGGCACTCATCATTCTTCTTGAACATTCCATGATAGTTTGCAGTAATGTGACGGATACAATACATGTGTTAGACATAGGGTGGTTGTCACATTGGACCCAAAGATTTCATTACTGCTTTGATACCAACTCCGCGATCTGAAATGACACAGATTTTTTCCCTCGTGAAAACATGTAAGAGTAAGTTTCGGAGAAAAAAGACACAAGAATGTATATTCTCCTTCAACAATGATAAAAACAACTGGAAGTATGTTGCGATTATCATCTTAGACAACTGCCAATAATAAAACTTGCTTGTATTTTCCATACAAGAATGTCCCGTCGATTTGGACCATGGGCTTGAATTACTATAAATACAATATAATTAATTTAATGTCGATTTTAAAATGTAATTTATAATAAATTTAGAGTTTTTGTTTTAAATAATTAATTTTATTCTAATTCTATCGTGATTTATCTTGAAATAACTAAAATTGAGATTAATAAAGACGTCCACCTTCGACAAATCATACCAGCACTTTGGCAGAGATGAAACTTTATTGGTTTTCATGAAATCATGATTGATTCATTTGAATTAATTAAAGAAAATCTGACTTTGATTCATGAACAAATTTCCCCATACCGTGGGGTGGATTTAATTATAGCCACTGGATGCATGGGGTTTTAAGAGCATAGACGGGGACATAAACTGAAAATGATTTTTTTTATTTGACAAAAGTAGAGTATGAGAAAGTGATAGATTTGTTGCAACCTAATTAAGTATTTGAATTAAAGTGTTGTTTGAATAGTTGCGATAATTATAAATTAGTTTAGATTTTTTTTAGTTAATTGATAATGCATATATATTTTAAAATTTTGATGATTTAAATTTCATTTTTTAAAGAAAATAATATTTCTTTTGTTACTAATACTATTTAATGGGTTAAAAATGAAATTTATAAAAGAGTTAAATTGCACTATAAATCTTCAAATTATGATATTTATTTTAAATTGGTCTTTGAACCTTTGAATGTTTTAATTTTATCCTTAAAATATGTTTCTTATTTTAAATTGATCTCTAAATTTTTTAACATTCTAAATTCAACCTCAAACTATGACCTCATTCTAAATTGGTTCTCAAACTTTTGAATGCTTTTGGGGGGCAAAAAAATCAAATTTATGGACCAAATTTGAAAATTTGTTCAGTTTGAGGACTAATATTGACAAAAATTCAAAGGTCAAATTAGAAAAGGCAACTAAATTGAGGGGTCAATTTGTAATTTTCCCTTCTAAAGGTTAAAATTCCAAGTAATGGCAATTCTCGTGATAAAATTCTTAATCCAATGTCAAATCGAATAGCTGATCCAGTAATTTAATTTTAAAAATTTATGACAAAAAATATGAAGAGTTTAAATTGAGATTTTATTTTTAGGGTAAAGTCTATAAATAGTCCCTAAACTTTTAGGACATTTGTATTTTAGTCACCCAACTTTTAAAACTTGCAATACAACTATCGAACTTTAGTTTGTTTTCAGTAAGATCCCTGACTCTTCTTTAAACCCTTTAAACCCCCATTCTTCTTCTTCCTTCTTTCTTCTTTCTTCTTTCTTCTCTCACACCCCCGTTAACCTCACTCTTCTTTTTCTTCTCTCTCACACCCCTGTTAACCCCACTCTTCTTCTTCTTCTTCTTCTTCTTCTTCTTCTTCTTCTTCTTCTTCTTCTTCTTCTTCTTCTTCTTCTTCTTCTTCTTCTTCTTCTTCTTCTTCTTCTTCTTCTTCTTCTTCTTCTTCTTCTTCTCTTCTTCTTCTTCTTCTTCTTCTTTCTCTTCTTCTTCTTCTTTCTTCTTCTCTTCTCTTCTTCTTCTTCTCTTCTTTCTTCTTTCTCTTCTTTCTTCTTCTTCTCTTCTTCTTCTTCTTCTTCTTCTTCTTCTTCTTCTTCTTCTTCTATTCTCCCGCTCGTGCCCACTACAAGATTTTGATGCAACTCACGTCCACTGAACCCTCTAAAATCGTTATTTTTCCCATGGCTTTCGCCATCGTCGAAAATGGAAGAGTTGTCGTTTGCAAGAGAGTTCAACGGTAGCTCAAGAACCATTACTCTTTTCTGGCATCAGCGAAGATAATATCAAAGTAGGAAACATAGAAGAATGGAACCTCAAAATCATATTGCATGAGGAATGTCTCCTGGACTCCACCAACCACTACAATACAACTGTAACCAGCTCCCAACAGAGAATAAAAATTCTTCCTTGTGGCTAGTGTAGCACCCAACCATGTCCATATATGCCTCAAGAATGGAACGCGGAATACATATGTTCATTCATGTTTCGGCAACACCGAATTTGGCTCGTAACTGAAAATTGCAGTATTTGCAAGCTAAAAATGGATTATATGCTCGAGAATTTTAAAGTACAGAATAAAAGAAAGAAGGAAAGAGACTGTAAGCACGATCGGGCTGGAAGTTGTTTATGTCCTCAACGTGGAGAGTGGCCAAAAAATAACTGCTCATATGCTTACATATAAACCTGCACATTCCGATCATAAATACTTGTTAAGCTTAAAACTTGGATCAATGTTTCCTACTTTAATATTATCTTCGATGAATACGGAAACGAGTGATGGTTCTTTCACTACCGTTGAACTCTCTTGCAAACGAAAACTCTTCAATTTTTGACTGTGGCGAAAGCCATGGGCAAAGTAACGACTTTGGAGGGTTCAGTGGACGTGAGTTGCATCAAAATCTTGTGGCGGGAACGAGCGGGAGAATAGATGAAGATGAAGAAGAAGAAGAAGAATATGGAGAAGAAAGAAGGAAGAATGAAGAATAAGAAGTCTGGGGGTTTAACGGAGTTAAAGTGTCACGTCAGAGACCTTAACTAAAAGTTTGATGATTGTATTACAAGTTTTACAAATTGAGTAACCAAAATACAAGCACCCTAAAATTTAGGTACTCTTTACTTTACCCTTATTTTTATTATTTCAGGTTATGAAGTGGGTGAAAAAGGCTTAAAGGTAGAAGAAGCAACGTAGCTTCCCTCTTTTTTATGGCGGTGACTCACAGGCTTTTCTTCAGATAAACCGCGTTAAACAACATTCTAGAATCCTTGCCGGGGATTCAGTCCGGTCGATGATCAGAGCTCTGGTTGCCGTCGGAGGAGACGAGGTAGAGCCTTTATTTGTTGTTCGTTGTTGTTGCGTGAGAGAAAAGCGAGTTTTCGTAGGTACATAAGAAGAGGAAGAGTCAAAATGAATGGTAATAGCAATGGATTCGGGAGTGCGGCGGCGGCGGCGGCGGCTGACTATATAAGGAGACGCCATCTGCATGAGATTGGAGAGAATCAGTGTAGTTCGTCTCTCGTAAAGCACATCAATGCTCCTGTTCCTCTTGTAACCTTCCTTTTCTCTTTCTCTCTGTTTAAGTTCTGTATCTTTCAAATCGTCTCAAGATTCGTCTCACTTATCATCTTCTATTTCGCTTCGTTTTCTTCCATTTCTTTAGATCTGTATTGAGATTTTATTATGCTCCTCTCTCTTTTGATAGCTTCATTGATCGATGATTTTTCTTTCTTTTCTTGTGATTATTTGCATGTTTACTTAGTGAGATTGTTTTTCAACGTTTTACAATTTTTTTTCTCTCCAGAAGGATCAATCTTGATCTGTGGTAGTTTTTTTTCCTGGAAATCTTTGATTGAATTTTTTTCGTGATTCTTTTATTAAATATTAAAAAAACAAAACAAAGATAGATGATCGAATTGAATTTGTTACATTTACTGTGCTGGTGATTGAAATAGAGAAGACCTTTTTGCATAATTGTTGAATTAGAGAAGATAAAATTTTCTGATATTTTTTTGGGCGAAACAGAGATCATTTTGATAAGTTTAATGCTGATGAGCAACTCAAAACTTGCTTCTTTGAATTTGAACAAATTTTGAATGGTTGAATTGTCCAAACTTTTTACAGAATAAATTCATTTCTATGATTAGTGAATTGCTTTATGTAGAAACAGTGGGGTTATGATCTAATCGGATTAAATGCAACTTATCTTGTTTATTATTGTACATTTCTAGGAAATGCAGCTAGAAATGGGAATGACGTGAGTATTTGTTCCAAATCTTTATTTCCTCTTCTGTCTCCATTTTTTGCACGTACCATATGAAATGTTTATATTTGAAGGAGGAATACACCATGCGGAAAGATCAATAACTAAGTGGATATTCAGATAATGTACAAATAATGCACTTCCCCACATTGGACAGCTTGATTCTTATATTTTTGTGAATTTGTTAATCTCTCTGGTTGGATGCTTGGATCTCTTTTCCCTTTTTCCCGAATATTTAGAATTTTCACGGAAAATTGTATTGCTTTGTCTTTTTAACAGGTTTGGTCTTTGGTGAGGAGATTCGACCAACCTCAGATGTATAAACCTTTTGTCAGCAGGTGTGTTGCACAGGGAAACCTCGAGATTGGAAGTCTTAGAGAAGTTGATGTCAAGTCGGGACTCCCAGCTACGACAAGTACTGAAAGATTGGAACTCCTTGATGATAACGAGCATATCCTCAGCATCAGGATTATAGGTGGTGATCACAGACTTAAGGTAGAATTTTTGTTTCTTTCCTTTCTTTTCTGGCTTAACCTTTTTTACTCTATTTACATTCAGTATCACCTATCTCTTGCATCTCAAATCCATTCGTTCTTAGAACAAAGCAGATTTGAACACATTTGCTTACAGCTTATTGATCTATGCTGTACAAGATAGTTGCTGATTTTAATAATACTTCCGAAGGTTCATGTGTGTTTTACCTAATATTGGATGGATTTATAGATTTTCTTTTATCTCTTGAAAATCCAAGTAGTTACATCTTTAGCTAAATTCGGTTTCCTGAATGTTTGGGTACACAAGTTCATTAGTTGACAAGTCATGGTCATGAGGTTCAACCTTTAAGTGTAGCAGTTGTAAAAAGGAGGTGGCAGGCCCTGTTTGATGCCTTTGACCTGATTTTTTAAATTTTATCCAGAACTACTCTTCAATCATTTCCCTCCATCCAGAGATCATCGATGGAAGGCCGGGGACATTAGGCATCGAATCCTTTGTGGTGGATGTGCCTGAAGGGAACACAAGGGACGAGACATGCTACTTTGTTGAAGCTTTGATCAAGTGCAATCTCAAATCACTTGCGGATGTGTCCGAGGGGTTAGCAGTGCAGGACCGGACCGAACCCATTGATCTATGAAAGTTGGGGGGCCGAGATGATAAAAGAAAATGTGGTGGCTATAGTTGCCATGGATGAAGCTTCAAAGAAATTGTGCGTATTGCATCTTCTACACACACATATTGGGTCTCACCTTTTGTTTTTAACTTAATGTGCTCGATTTAATGTTTGTAGTAGATGAACCTCGTTATTGAAGGATGGGAAAAGAAACGACTTAGTTCTTGCACAGCTGATCCAGGATTGTCTGTAAGAAAAGGGAAACGACATAATGAACTTAATTAAGAGTGGTAATAACATTTGTAACGCACTAATCTATCCACTTAAAGTGGCTAAACAAAACCGAACCCTATAAGTGGCAAGAAGAATTATGGGTTGGTCAGTTGAGAGTTCAAAAGTCAAAGTTGACACTAGGAATGGGAATGGGGCGGTGTGGGTTGTTATTTTGCTGTCTCTATTTCGATTAAAAAATTGATAATTCAAAAGATGTCATGTGTTCGAATATCGACCTTTATCTTAAAAGTACGATATCTTTCCATTTGATTCTGCTTCGGTATTTCAGCATGTTTAATTAGTCCGACTCTATATGTTTTGATGGAAATATTTTTGTTTCAATTTTTTGTAAGAGATATTTAATATGTATCTACAAAAAGACATTATAATAATTATTTAAATATATAAGGAGTAAATTGTATTAGCAGGGTCGTCCAGTATTCGATCTAGATTAATTGGTCAATAGATCGGATGTCAATGATTAATTCAAAAAATAATAATTGCAATGCGATCTCTATTTCGCATTGCGATCTCCACTATCGTAAATTCGCGTTGCATTTCGCATTGCGATAGTTGAAAATCGCGTTGCGTCGTTGCGATTTTCCAAATTCGTTGCAATAGTCTACAGTTGTTGTTGCGATAGTTAAAAAAATATTTTGTTTCTCTAAAAAGATAGTATCTGCGCGGACGTGTCGAAGACACGTATTACCACGACCACGACCACGACCCGAGACGAGACGAGACGGACGGCGGCGGCGACGCGCGAGAGTCTCCCTTGTTCTCTATCACTCAACAAGGAAGTGAGAAAGTCAAGCCTTAAATACTATTCTCAATAGTGTTTCCAATACTATGTGGGATTTGAGCATTACCAACACTTGTTCCCAATACTATGTGGGATTGAGCCTTAAATAGTGATATTATTTTTGAATGTTTTGCTTAAAATTGCAATAATCGCGATTGATTGAAGATTGACTTTTAATTATGACATATTTAATCGTATAATACTAATGCAATTGGTTTCTAATTCAGTTGTTTTAAGGTGTATGATTGTTAATTGTTTCCTGAATAATCACATTGTATTGGAAACAAGTGTTGGTAATGCTCAATCCCACATAGTATTGGAAACACTATTGGGAATGGTATTTAAGGCTTGGCTTTCCCACTTCCTTGTTGAGTGATAGAGAACAAGGGGGACTCTCGTACGCCGCCGTCGCCACCGTCCGTCTCGGGTCGTGTCGTGGTAATACGTGTCTTCGACACGTCCGCGCAGATACTATCTTTTTAGAGAAAATTCTTAAAAAACAAAATCTTTTTTTTTACTATCACAACGAATTTTCGCAACAAATTTGAAAAATCGCAACACGATTTTCAACTATCGCAACGCGAAGCGAATTTGCGATAGTGAAGATCGCAATGCGAATTAGAGATCGCATTGCGATTTTGTTGGTCATTTTCGCAAATCCAAAAAAAATTGGTCAAAATCGTATATTATCTAAGATTTTTTATCACTGAGGTTATTTTCTCTTATTCAAAATTCTAAAAAAAAATTAAATACCAAAAATGTCATCTAAAAACGAATACCATGTCTCAGTTCAACTTATAAAGAACGGCAAAACATGGGGAGCAACCACCGACGTGGCAGCTGAGGCCACCCCGATGCGATTTTTATACTGTTGATACTTGATATTGGTATTTTACATATGATTGGGTCTGAAATGAGGCATGGTCGAAGCCGGTGATGGTATGCCACTCTGGCCCGGCATTTGCATCATTCCATGGCTCATTTGAGACATCGAGGCCGGTGGAGCGTAAGGATTATGATTAGTCATCTGTAACGGCATCGATTGGGGCATTGCTGGAACATCTGAGGCTCCCCATCCGGCTGAAGGTTGCGGAGGCATCATAGATTGTCCCATACCTGGTGCAGGATATTGAGTCCCATTGTATTGATGACCAGCTTGACCCATTGTTTGAATCGGTTGTTGCCCCAAAACTGGAGGCTGTGGGTTAACCAGGGCAGGATTAGCGACTGTATAATCTCTGCTCCTATCATTGTTGAGCTGCAAAGATGAACCAACCATATTATTAGATTAAACTGCGTAAAACCCGTAAAGAACCATGTTTGGTAATATAATGCATCATAACCGGATTCTGATGCGTACTAATACGAACAGTATACATCAAATCCCCCACACCTTTCTCTACCATCCTTAACAAAAAAGTGTGAAGGATATATGTGGCCTTTAATTCCGCCACAGAACTAAACTAGCATCAAAGCACGGCTACCTTTATGCTAAGATCGGTGTGACGTGAATATGAAAGATGAAGTTTGCAAAACCCTCCATCGTATATGCAGTGCCCTTCTAAGGCCTCCTTGGCAACAATAGCCGTCTGAATATCTGCAAAACATGGAACCATTAATGCATGAATTCAAGGGAAAGGCAGACGGCAGGAATAAAATGTCCAATCTCTTTCTTATGTTCTAGCCTTAATAGAAAAAGAACAATGGGTTTGACCATAAATGCCGATTATGAATTTGTAAAAATACGCAGGCTTAGTCTAAAAACAACCTTTTCGGCACTAGTGAGAAATTCTCAATGATGAGCCATCCTGATGGAAGTACCAGATTCTGAGGCATAATTTAAGACAAAAATAAATGAACATGTTTGAACATTACCAGGGTACTGAATTAGAGCCTGCAGTGCACCATTCTTATCAAACATGGCAATCTTTTGAATAGGACCAAAAGCAGAGAAGACCTAAGCACGGGACAAAAGAAAAGAGAGAAAATAACAAGTAATCAGTATTGAGTTGAGGTACTAGACAGTCCAACAAGTGTTGCTTCCGGTAATTGATAAATACCATGTGAAGCACATCCAAGGTAACGGCATACTGCATGTTCTCGATCGATGCAAGTAAAACATTACTCTCAGGTTCAAGCTTTTTCCCATCAAGGCCCAAATTGAACTGCAATGATAACAAACAAATGAATCTCGTTAACAAACAAAGTATTAGACAAGTATTATACGGTCCAGCATAGTAATGAGACAATGTTATTCATTTCTCAAGAGAAATACATTATAGAGGTTAACAAGAGTTGAATCTCAATGTATGCACACCTTGCAGGAGGGGGAAAAATCACATGTAAACATTTTAATCAAGTTATGTCAAGTACCTTGAGCTAAAACTAATGCTTTGATCTTTAAGAAAATATACCCACTAATGAACCGAAGGATGGTGAACAGTACAACAATACTATCAACTGTTAAACAATTCAGTTCAATGTTGTTTACCTGGCAATTTCCATCTATAGCCGAAGGGGCAACAGGAAGGTAGGGATTGGTATAGTCCCTGAAAAAGAAAGAAACAATTCGTTTAATTAACAAATAATAGTAAAGGGATGTGCAGCAGCCCAGTTACTGGTAACGCATATCAGGAATACCTGCTCCTGTGGCTCTGAAATTTCACACTCAGATCCGTATGAGCAGAATATGTTATCCTAAGCGTACAAGGAGCTATGCTGTCAGAAAGCAGATACCTGGAACCCAAGAAAAAGTCGGTGGATCATCATGCAAGAAAACCAATGGTCACTTAAGAACAACATATGCTGTAAGCCTGTAATATTAAAAAGCTTTGCTCGTGGAGGATATTAAGTTTTCTTTTGTCAAGGACTAAAAGAACCCAAACAACTGGAAACGTTGCAATAATGTCAAAAGTTTTAGGGCTCGATACACAAACATCATTTACAGAATGAATGAAGTTATATGGTCACCTATAGTTCATAGCTGGACTAAATACCATGTCTAACAATTAATAAAACAGTTACCTAGGGATGATTCGTCCATCCAAGGCATTTTTTGCAGACGTTGCTGTTTCTGCATCTGAAAACTGCACCAATGCCTGCACTAAAGAAAGAGTGTCTTAATTTTCAAAAAAAAAGAAGAAGAAGAAGAGGAAGAAAGAATCTTATCTTCAGAAGTTGAAGTAAACAAATCGATACAAAAAGGAGAATAATGACCTGGAATCCAGCCGTCTTCTCAAAGGTGGTAATTTTGTGCACAAATCCAAAAGCTGAAAATACCTGCATTTTTAACTACTTCAGAAAGATGAATGGGATAAAATCAAGTAAGCTCACTCCAAAAAGTCATTGCAAACTATAATCCCTCATATCTTCCAGAAAATAAGGAATGGAGATAAGCCCAACATATCAGGTCTAAAGCAACGAGATAGAAGCAACAGAACTTATTATAGAGCTTGACAATTGCAGTGATGCATTTCAGATGCTCCAACGATGTTAACAAAAATCAGAACCTGTAAAATCAATAATTTTGCCAACGTACTACAATGCAGAAAATAATTTATAAAAAAATTATATAATAACCAACCAAATTGTGTTAAGAAACCTCAAATCTTTCCAAAAACCAAAGCTATATTTCAGGCTGCTCAAAATTCAATGTTATCAAGTTCATTGCATCTCCTGAGTAAAAATCTAATGCAATCACTATTCTCTTTGAAGGATAAAACACAACAGCAGCTTCAAATAAATTGAAGAAAACTAAGTTACAAATGCAGGGACAGATATTAACTGCCCCAGATTCAAAAGTCTTAAAAGACCATTCAGATTTAAGTCTAAGGAAAAAGTTGCAATCCACAGCATATTCCAGGACCAATCAGGTACAAAGATACCGTCGATAACTGATTACTATTGATATAAACCTAATTGTAAAACATGTTGATTAATATCCAGGAAACCTACATTTCTGAAAGATGATGTCATGAAGTATATATATTAAAACACCGGGCACTAATGAATACTATACTTTGTAGATTACATAATTTACATTGTTCCCCAAGGAAAATAAAAAAACGTTCTTTAGTAGAATAATATCTAATAAAATGATTTGCTCACTTTCTGAAAGCAGATATAGTTATCTAAACTTTAGAAACAAACATTTAGTTTGTAACAACAAGTACCTCAGATTATTACTATAACATTTCGGGTCTAAATTAGAAATGATTTTTTATTCCAAAATGGTAAGAGATAAGTATGCTTGCATGAGCATAGTAGGCACAGGAGGGACTTTCAATCTTCACAGGCTATTATTGATGTAACCACTCATTCATTAGCAGAATAACAGGCATCAGCGGACAGAAAATACCACTGATTACATGAATGATAGGCTACCTAATCAGAAATCAGGTTCACCCAAGCCAAAAGCTACCATCTCCCCTAAAAGTAGCCATGGCTTCAGCTGAGAGCCAAGAAAAAT